TTATTATTATTATTATTATTATTATTATTATTATTATTATTATTATTGTTATTATTATTATTACGTAATTTTCACGCGAATACTTTCGTTTCCCAAATCACCTTTTTATTTCATATCATTTTTTCCCCCACTTCCATCGCTTGAAAATTGCGATTATTAGAAAAAATTCGTATCGATAATTTAATTAAGCGATGCGTATAATGATACTCGGTAAGAGGAAGAGTGAATATCGCTTTAGCGCCGAAATATTTTTACTTACTAAACACCTTATATGAGTATATCCTTTTCTCATGAAACTGAGAAAAAATGTTTTTTATCATGGTTCATCACAGAGCATTTTACGTTGGCGTTATACGCACTGTTACATATTGCCTGCGAAGTACTCGTAAGAATGTGTTGGTCGAGCGACGATAAAAAAGAAAAAGAGAAAAGTAGTTGGTCGGATAGTTGGCGCGCTTGAGTCGAGGCGCGTATATATATAGCATATATATATATATATATAGATTCATGTGCAATTGTAAAACGCGTCCATTTGTGGACTAATCGAGATTAATTGGATGAAGATATTTTTTTTCATGGAAACTACCAGTACCTTCAAAATATATAATTAACATATATATATATATACGTATAATTGAAGCCATCGATGAAAATTTCACGGATGTATCGCGAAGTTGAAAGCTGGTTTCAATGAATTTTAACCGACATCAAAATTTGTGTTGATGATTTTTTAACGATTTTGTAACGATTTCGAAACAATTTCGAAACAATTTCAGATCAATTTCTCGATCACAAAATTAAGCAATTAAAAAAGTTACCTGAATACACCGCGCCACTTTCAAGATCACGTTCACTTACAAACAATAATTACACACAACGAACGTCAGATCAGTATTTACACGTTGCAAATATTATTTGAAGCGTTACACAGTTTTTCTCAAGAATTTTTTTTATAGAAATATTTAATATCGTATCATTACAATTTTGAAAGATTATTCTTCTTCCAGACGCATCATTAAAACAAACGTTTGATCGTTTGAGACGATCGTTATCGAGGCGTTACGAAGCAATGCCAATGCTGTGTTTTTTTTTTTTTTATCATTAAGTGAATGCACTTAAAATGCATGACATATTGCGAATAATAACGATGCTGGTGTGACGTCGTTCGCGCGTCCTCTTTAAGACCGTCGAACGTTTAATAACGCGAATGCACCAGCATCGACATATATTACATTACTTAACGATAATAACATCGTAGTCTAGATGGCGACACGAATGTTTTGCCAATCAGACTGTACGCCATTTATAAGCCGTTCGTACGCTATTGATGACAAGATCGCTTACTATTAATTATATTCCAAGTTAAGTAACATTCGATTGCTCGTACATCATACGAAAATCTATTTTATCGTTAGAGTATTGTATAAATTGATATATAATTATTATAATAATTCGATCTATCCTTGATCTCTCGANTTTTTTTTTTTTTTTTTTTTTTTTACGTATTTTACACGAACGAAGTGTTTCCATTCTTCCAGCTTGACGAAGTTCCAGCTTTAAGGTAATTCTAACTTTTAACTTTTTCTTTAACGTCTTTCCCGCGTTTTTTCTTCTCTTTGTCTTTTCTTCTTTTTCTTTTCTTTTTTTTTTCTTCAAGATTCTAATCTGACGATCGACGATTTCAGATTTTTCACGAAATGGAACGGAGGAGAGGATACGATTTCCGAAGCATGGAAGTTCGATTCAACAACGGAATATGTTCGAGTATTCGTCGGCGAGATACAAAATTTATCAGCAACAGGGAACGTGTTGGAAGCTCAGTAAACGTTTTATTCACAGATACACAACTGAGTATCTGTAAAACTACTGACCTACTGTTCACCTAGGTGAAATGTAATATATTATCGGAAATATATATTGATCTGACGTATCTCTACGAGGATAATTAACAGCTTGCCACTCCGTTGATCGATTTCAGGGGAATGCGTCAAATGTCAAGGGCAGGAATAGGATTTAACCGAGGATTTAAAATCTTGCGACGTAGAGAGTATTGAAATTATTCTTTCGAACAATATAATAACAGACTCTTTCAAATTTATTCCGTATACTCTTTCACACACGAATATGCTGTGACGATATGCTCGAAATAATTGAAATATAATGTTCAAAAATATCGTTCTGTGACGAACAACGGAAAAAGAAATAAAAAAAAAAAAAAAAAAAAAAAAAAAAAAAAAAAAAAAAAAAAAAAAAAAAAAAAAAAAAAAAGAAAAATCGTGTTCAGGGAAGATCGAAGAATTTCTTCCCTCTTTGTCCTCTTTTGCCTCTCTCTTCCTCTGTGCACACGTTTAGAGGTACATATATTTTATCATTGATCGATCGATGAAGCGAACTCTACGAATAATTTCGTGCTCAACGATGAATTCGATGAGAAAGGAACCGCGAAACCCAACAAAAGCCTCTCCCTGCAATTTAACCCGTGATCATTTTTTTTTTCTTCTTCCTGGTTCCAGATTACGCGAAAATGCGGTTCTACGTTAGCCGAATGCCCAAGGATCGAAGAAGATCTCGGGGACAGGGCCGATTCGCGTGCGACAATTGCGATCGCCGTTACCATCAAATGAAGAACCTGAGGAGGCACGTGATTAACGAGTGCGGTAAACAACCGATGCACCAGTGCACCTTCTGCCCTTATCGGGCAACCTACAGGTCCTACCTTCAGGTGCACATGATGAAGCACGCAAGATCTGGATTCACGCCTCGAACAGCTAGCGTCAGGCAACATAGAAACCCCTGAGACGGCTCTTCTTCCGTTTCTTATTATTATGATATCCCGATCTTTCATATCTCTCTCGCTCGTTGATCGATCGAATTGCGCGCGCCGCTGTAAATCGTCGTCGCTGTCTCTGCGTTGTAAAAAAAAAAAGTGGGAAATATGTTGACGATAACACGTACATACATACATACATACATACATACATACATACATACATATATACACAGGTATATACACGCACGCACTGTTTCTACTTTTAAATGTGATATGTGTCTATCCTCTTCTCTGTCGCACACACACACACATATACATACACATATATATATACATAAAGCACACGACAAAGACGTAGACAGGCATGCGCATAAATGATTAGAGACATTTACGTCATAAGTACGAGGGAACGAGGATCGATCATCCGTCGCCGATTCGTTATCCCTTCCGGGGCGCGAGAATGTCGAGAGCGCAAGATTATATAGAGCGAAAGAGGAAAATGGATGGAAGGAAGGAAGGAAGGAAGGAAGGAAGGAAGGAAGGAAAGGAATAGAAAGAATAGAAGGGATGGCGTATTTTTTTTTTTTTTCGCTTTCGTAATGATAACGAGACGAAAACAACAACAACAACAACAACAAGTGACACGAATCGAGTAAGAAAAAAAAGAAAGAATGTCTGTCACCGAGCTCTATACCAAAAAAAAAAAAAAAAAAAAAAAAAAAAAAAAAAAAAAAAAAAAAAAAAAAAAGAAAGAAAAAAAAATCGACTGTCTGTGGTCTGTGTCCGGTGCATTAAACCACAACCTGGCCGTTGCCGCCGCCTATCCTTCGAAAAACACACGTTCCAAAAATTTTTATCCCCCTTCGTTTTTTTTTTTTTTTTTTTTTTTTCTCTTTCTCTCTCTCTCTCTCTCTCTGTCTCTCTCTCGTTTCGAAAACGTCGGATCAACTCGAGGAAAGAAAACTCGTGAAAAATTTTCGAGATCGTCCGACTGCATTTATCTGTTGGGAAAATACGCAGTAGCCGCAACAATCGTTCCGGACTAATCGATCGTTGTTTCGTGTCTGTTTCAGCCAAGTCCCACTACCATCCGGTCATATCGGTGTTCAAACACACTTGCGCCACCTGCGGGAAAACTTACAAGCACAAACACCATCTGAAGAGGCATCACGATTTCGAGTGCGGGATAGATCCAAAGTTCAAGTGCGCGTTCTGCCCGCACAGAACGCGTTACAAAGACAGCCTGATGAAGCATATACTGGCGAGGCATCAGCATTTTCTCGATCAGAATCCACGATACAGATTGCAACAGGCCGATGTCCTCTCGGACGTGGAAGGGAACGTGCACGTTCAGGGAACGATGTTCGCCTCGTACCACGATTTCCCTCAAAATTTATAGAGAGGAAACATACATACGTATCATTTTACGTATCAACTTTTGCCGCGAACTTTTGCCGTAAACTTTTTTTCGAACATTTCGTAATACGAGACGTCCTTTCTTCTTCTTCTTCTTCTTCTTCTCCTTTTTCTTCCTTTTCCTTCTCTTTGTCTTCTTTTTCTTTTCTTTTCACGGCAATCGTGAGTCGTTTTTTGTATCCACGCGAATACATACACACATACACGTACATACATACATGCATATACACACACACACGTTGTAGAAAGCGCAGAAAAACGAG